GCCGTCCCTCCCTTGCTTCAGGCTGCTTTGCAAGAGGTTGTGCCGCTGTATTATTTTTTTTCATCCCTCCCTCCCACGCCTTCCTTCCCCCCCTCCCCGCACCCCTTGATTTTCACCCCACTGTCCCTACCCCCCCTTCCCCCCGCCGCTTTCTCGCATGAATCTCCTAGACCCCTTCCTGAAAATGACAGAAGAGCAGGACAAATGCGTCTCTGGCGCCCCCAGCCCCACCATGTCGGACGACTCCGCGGGGTCCCCTTGCCCCTCGGGCTCCGGGTCGGACACGGAGAACACCCGGCCCCGAGAGAACACCTTCCCCAAGGGCGACCCGGAGCTGAAGAAGGAGAGCGAGGAGGACAAGTTCCCGGTGTGCATCCGGGAGGCGGTAGGGGCTTGCGCTGCCTGGCGGGGCCCAGGGCGCCCGGGAGGGGGATGCGGAGAGATGCTGGGAAAAGCCCTTTGATCGCCTGGCAGCGGGGCCACAAGGGTGTGTGTGTGTGTGTGTGTGTGTGTCCACAAGGGGTGTGTGTGTGTGTGTGTGTGCACAAGGGATGTGTGTGTGTGGGTGTGTGTGTCCACAAGGGGTGTGTGTGTGTGTGTGCCTGGCGGGGCCCAGGGCGCCCGGGAGGGGGATGCGGAGAGATGCTGGGAAAAGCCCTTTGATCGCCTGGCAGCGGGGCCACAAGGGTGTGTGTGTGTGTGTGTGTGTGTGTCCACAAGGGGTGTGTGTGTGTGTGTGTGTGCACAAGGGATGTGTGTGTGTGGGTGTGTGTGTCCACAAGGGGTGTGTGTGTGTGTGTGTGTGTGTGTCCACAAGGGATGTGTGTGTGTGGGTGTTGCCACAAGGAGGTGTGTGTGTGTGTGTGTCCACAAGGGGTGTGGGTCTTGCCACGAGGAGGTGTGTGTGTGCCTGTTGCTGCAAGGGGGGGGTGTATTTGTATAAGAGGGGCGTGTGTGTGTTGCCACGAGGAGGGGCACGTGTGTGTGTGTGTGTTGCCACGAGGAGGTGTGAGTGTGTTGCCACAAGGAGGGGCGTGTGTGTGTTGCCACAAGGGCTGTGTGTGGGTGTCTGTGTTGTCACCTGGAGGGGGGGGTGTTACCACGAGGAGGGATGTGTGTGTGTGTGTTGCCACGAGGAGGTGTGAGTGTGTTGCCACAAGGAGGGGCGTGTGTGTGTTGCCACGAGGGCTGTGTGTGTGTGTCTGTGTTGTCACCTGGAGCGGGGGGGTGTTACCACGAGGAGGGGTGTGTGTGTAACTACTTGGAGGGGTGTGCCTGTGAGTGTGTTCCCACAAGGAGGGGGAGGGGGAGTGTGTATTAAACCCACACAAACCAGGCTGCTTTGCCCACATTGCATCAGATTTGCACAAGAGAAGAAATGATCCATGAAGGGGAGGAGAAAGCTGGCAAAGTTGTGCCAGGCTGGTGGTGGGTGGGTGTGGGCATGACCCGATGTCTTTAGCCTTAAAAGTGAAGGCTGGGCTGGGCCGGGCCGGGGGAGGGGGGGAGATTAGAAAAAAAAAAAGAGTGAGTCACCTGCCCAGGGCTTATTCTGGGAGTGCAGGAGAAAAATCCAGCCACCCAGAAAGTGCAGTTTGCAGCAGACGGGAGACCCCCCGGGGTGACTTGGGACCTCCAGCAGCAGTGCCCGGAGCCATCCGCGCCTGTGTCACCTCCTCTCTGTATTGAATCAGCGTGTGCTCCCCGGCCCAGGGGAGCAGAGCCAAGTCAGCTGCCTGTTTCCTATGAGGCAAGGGGAGGGGAGAAAGGGCAGCCCCAGCTGGGTACCTCCGGGGGTCCTTCCCTTGCAGTTCAGAGAGACAGCAGATCGCAGCAAGGGAGCTGTGTGCAGAAGGGAGGCTGGGGGTGTGGATTATTAGGTGTGGGGCGGTGCAGGCGGGAGCCCCATCGGTGTGCATGGCTCTTCATGGCCGGTCAAGGCAAGGAGCCTGTGCTCTAGTGAGCCAAACTCACCCCCTGGCTCCTCGGTCTCTCCCCCAGGCTGCTGAACGAGAGCGAGAAGCGCCCTTTCGTGGAGGAGGCCGAGCGGCTGCGGGTGCAGCACAAAAAGGACCATCCCGACTACAAGTACCAGCCCCGGAGGAGGAAGTCCGTGAAGAATGGGCAGGCAGAGCAGGAGGAGGGGGCCGAGCAAACCCACATCTCCCCCAACGCCATTTTCAAGGCCCTGCAGGCCGATTCGCCTCAGTCTTCCTCCAGCATGAGCGAGGTTCATTCTCCGGGAGAGCACTCTGGTAAAGCCGCAACCTGACACCGCGAGACACACACACACACACGCTCTCCTGGGCCCCGCTTGCTGGACGAGGCTGCTAGGGAGACACACCCGTGGCCGTATCTTACCGAGGGGCTGGG